AATTTCTTTGCAAGAATATTAAGCATAAAGGTATAAACATACATTACAAAATCAATAACAATTATAATTATCGCTAATAAAATACAAACTGATCTAAAAAGTTGAATTTCAAAATATTTGCCTAGGACAAAGCATATAACTACSAACAGTTATGCAAAGTTTGAATCCAAACTTTGTAGCAAAAATATAAGCGTTTGAATACGGTCTTCCTTTACAAAGAAATGTGTGGGCAGCCATGACAKAGTGCCCTAGTCTGAAGCACAAACATGGCGAGTACCGAATTGAGCTAAAAAACTAATGATTTTGCTTTATCTTTACAACAATTTCATTGTAAACATTTAATTGATGCTGAAACTAGTTTTAAGATTGATACGCWTTTCGAGTATTTTTGGCGTGTATCAAGTCSCGTGACAGTATTGCGTGACATATTTTTGAGTGTTTTGTTATTAAAATAACTCGAGGAATAAACAGCAAAAAAGTTTAAACATTCAGAGAGAACTTCTATCATGCCCTTGAAGATATTTCAGTACTACAATGTTGTGTGTCTGTGACAGGAGGCCCCCTGGTCTGTGATTTTAGAATTTCTTTCGACCGATGACGTCATGTGAAAGTCGAGAATAAATGGAAAGCGAGAACAAATAGAGATAAGCAAATTATATCCTTTATGGCTTGTGATCTCTGGAGTGAACTAAATGTCAAGAAAATGATTAAGAAAAAATTGAAAGAACATTTATTGTCCACTCAGCACCTATAGCTGTTTCGCTAAACTATTGTGTAGTAATTGTATATTCTTTTTTTCCCTTAAATATGTTTTATTGCTTTTCCATACCTCTAATTACCAATGTAAGAGGGGGCTAACTAGAAAAGTTATTAGTTAACTTTTAATAGTCCTCTGGCTCTATTATTTCTTTACAACAAATTTGATTTTTTTTATACTTCAATGATATATCTTTTTTGTTACAAGCACCTTTATTCTGTCAAGCTTTTAAAAAAGCAAAAAAGAGCAATAAAACAGTTTCAGTTTTCAGCTATTTAATGTCAAGTTAAAAAAAGTTCTTGGGAATTCTAAAAATCGTGATATGCAAATGACTTTGTGTCTTTATGTCTTTACAAGTAAACAATGTTTAATGGATTGATTGTATGCATTTATTATTAATGCTTCGACAATACCTTCGATATTCTTTAGTTGGCTATCTATTAACCGAAGGACAAATCCTTTATGATATTCCACTTCATTTGCTTGGTGAAACCTTCCTAGCCTGAGCCGAACCACTTCTAAACTATATTGGCATCGTTGTTTTTTTTTTACTAGAACTATTACAAAGCACAAGAAAACGCTTTTATTGGGAGTATAAGGAATACATTTTACATCAAAACAATTCAGTGCGAAATGAAAGGGGAGAATTTCGTRATCGTAGGATGTTRCATSTTGGTGTTTATAAATGCTGTAAAAGGTAAGAAATGCTTATCGTGAATATTTTTTCGTGAGATAAATACATAAAATAGTAAAATAAGAAATATAACAAGTTTTTCGAAATACTAGTTGCATTTACCTGATTGATAATTCCGTTATCTTTTTCAAAATTGATTAATACATTAAGCTGCATTGAATTGTTCTTGGTACTTGTTATAGACTGTTGTATCACTGATTACTGCTAAATAGTATGGAGTTTTTTTGCAAACAATTACTTTGAATATAAAGCCTAAAGAGGTGAACGGTCTCTCTTCACACACTAAACACCTGCAATTTTTTTAAAAAGCTCGCAATTTTGTAATGAAATTAAACGAGCCAAGGAAAATTCCTATAAAGCTGATTTTTTGAAGATATAAAAAAGAATTGGAAAACTTTTAATGAACTCACATCAAGAAAGCAAAGTTCTTCAAACATAAAAGAAGTTAACTGGAACGGTGCCTCAGTCATTGAATCGCGTGAAATGAGTGAAGCATTTAACGATTACTTTGCAAGTATTGGGCCAAAGTTAGCCAATAGAATACATTCAACAGATAGCCGTTCACACTTAGACTATATAACGTATATAAAAGAAAATAATCCTTTAATTGTCTTTACTCTTTTATCTAAACTGTCTAATTCCAAAGCGACAGGTTTAAATAAAGTTTCTGCCAAACTCCTTCGTTTTTGCCCTGATTTGWTAGCAGAATCCCTATGCAACATTTTCAATCGCTCTATCAAAACAGGTATTTTTTCCTGATGAATGGAAGTGCTCAAAAGTAAAAACTTGGTTCAAGTCAGGTGAGCGCAAGGACCTTGAAAACTATCGTCCTATCTCAATCATCCCGGTTGTTGGAAAGGTTTTTTTAGAGAATTGTATATGATCAGGTCTACGCTTTTCTTACAATCAATAATCTGCTGTTTCATTGTCAATCAGGATTTCGATCCTTAACATTCCACTATGACAGAGACTACCAATGACTGGGCACTTTCAATATTGATCGCGGCAATGTCAACGCCGTAGTTTTCTTAGACCTCAAGAAGGCTTTCGACACTGTGGACCATGTGGGATTCTGCTATCAAAACTGAATACATGCGGTTTCGGGAGTGCCGCAACTAATTGGTTCAAGTCATAAGTAATCGCAATCAAAAATGTTTTGTGAACGGTCACTTATCTAGCCTGTGTACATCCGTTTCTCACCCCTTCATTTTTGTTCATTTTTTCATTTTTATGGGTAAAAATTCATCGAGTAAATCGTCATTCAGTTTTTTATAACACATTATGGTCGATTTAAAATTCGTTATTTTGGACTTCGTGATTTGTTTCTGTGAATTTGAGCCATGAGAATGAAACAACAAGCGTGGCATAGGATAGGTCCTTAAAGAGACAACATGGATTTTCATTTCAACATGGATTTTTTAGGGTTAAAACGCCTGTCTATCACCGCTGTGGTCCTGGTTCGATTCCCGGTCCGGGACTATATGTGATTTAAGTTTGTAGGCTGGTTCTCTTCCTTGCTCCGAGGGTTTTTCTCCAGGTCCGCTGGTTTTCCTCCCTCAGTCAAAAACTAGCTGTGAGGAGTGTCGTGTGGTAAAATAATGAATGTTGAGGTGGTGAGTGTGAGTGAATACATAGAGGGCCACAAGTTTATTAGTCTAGAGACTAATACGTGCTACCCTGAGGGTCTCAATGGGGTGGTACGTATCACGACTCACGGCTAGAAATTTGGCGATTTCACGACTCACGACTAATTTTTTCGAATCACGGTTAACTAGATTACTTTTAGAAATTTTTGAATTACGTTTTTCATTGCTTTTTCTTTTTTCGTATGAATAGACTGCGTGACTTATTCGTACGGACATGGATTTTTCTATTTCAAATAAGCCGAAATGCGACTATTTCCACGAAAAAATGATTAATCATAAATTCATAATACACAAAAAAAA